TCCCTTTCTTTCTTCTCTGATCTACCAAGAAAATAATTTAGTTTCTTTTTCAAGACACACAGATGTGTACCAGATGGCTACTGATAGTTTCAAGGTCCTGATGAGTTATTGAAATAATTAGTGTTGGTGTAAGGTTTGTCATCTAACTATAATACTGAACTGTGTACTCATCTCTTTCAAGCTTTTGAAATAAAAGCTTTATTTTATTAAGACTTTTGAAACAGAGCTTTAAATGTCAGTGCAGATAATAATTGATGGTCAGAAGTTCTCTCAACTCTCTCTCATATGTAAAATTCTTGATCTTGTAGAGGGGACCAAAGGCAAGCTACATTTAGGTGATATACTAATTTTATGTCAGAAGGAATGGTGAGATATCAATCAGGGAATGATTTTAATGGTGAATTGGGGAATATTTCTTTCTAAAACATGAACATAAAGTGTTGAAAATGACAGAGAAATTGATACATAAATATAATTTATGGATTACGGAATTAAAAATACAGTCCACGTTAGTTGAAAAAGGCCTTATCCCAGGGGTCTGTTATGTCTCACTCCTTTGTGCAAATCTTTGTTGCCACAGCAGGTTTAATATGTTTGAATTTATAAAGTGTAAATACAAAAACAACTCTTATGAAAATTTTGCTTCTACCTATGTTACTTCCAAATTTAGTTTGTGCTGTAATGGATATGCCTCCTAGATCCATTTTATGGTACATACTGCTTTGATAGCTAAAGCTGATTAAAAGAGGAAATAATTACTTCCCTTTGTCCTTGACATTGGAACAAATCCATTCCTTTTATTTTTCAGTGTTCACTATTTTAATAGGTGTGTCACTTGTAACACAACTGTTTGTGGATGTAGCTGCAAACAGCTGCATCATCATGCAGCCCTTGCCTGCATGATTTAGACCCTTTCCCTGGTATTCTGAGCTTGGAAATAGTTTTGAAACAAGATTGTTGTCATCCACCAAAAATAGTGAATTTTTGCAAGCAAAGCAGAATAAGTAACTGCTGTACAGAAAAATAATGTGCTAGCCTTTTAATGATAAGGAATTCAGTGGGATTGCTGAACACTAATAGCATGCATAAGTATTTGCAGGATTGGAGCTTTGTAAAATCCCGAGCAGAATTTGAGCTCCCTTTCCTTAAGATTCACTGATTAATCACTTCAGGCCTACCCTACACTACCGTTTCCTTTCTGGTTCTGATCAGTTAATCCATGTGTCTTTTAAAGCACATTTGATGAACAAATGGGAGAGCTATGGAGGTATTGGAGCTCTTTAGAGTGTATCATCCTTTACATGGACTCAATCTGCTCTCTGACCAACTCTTCATTTACTTAATATCCGTCTTTATTCTGCTGAAGGCCTGATGCATTCTTAACTCAAGTCTCCCTAGCCCTATTAAAAAATGCAACCTCATAACTATTTTCATATAATGATGCTATTCTTTCTGGGTTTTTAGACTGTATATTTGCAAGAATTCACTTTGGTATCTGAGTAAGACTTTTCTTGCAGTGAGTGAGAAAGGGTAGTGTTCTCCAAATGGACATTTGGAGCTGTGAATGTCACAGAACTGACTTGCCCTGTGAACGCACCTGTCCCCCTCCGTTGACCGGAAGGGGCTGAGAAGACCTGTCTCTTGAAGAAGATCACTGAAAAAACTGCCTACACTTAGGCATTGTCAGTACAACCTGCGTGCTGCATGTAAGAGTTCTTTTGTTCTGTTAGGACTGTGTGGTTCAAAAAGGTTTTGGGGTTGGGGTGTTCTTACCTTTTCCAGGTGTGGGACATTGGAGGGCAGCCAAGATTTCGAAGCATGTGGGAGCGTTATTGCAGAGGAGTCAATGCAGTTGTGTAAGTTTTCTTCTGTATGCCCATACAAAATGTATTTAAAAATATATATTATTAATATAGATACACTTGTCTTCCTGTCCACCTCCATCACATAAGGAGACCCAACATGATAAAAGTAGCATGTTTTATACATCCAGCAGTGCAAATATATAAGTAATTGCATGTTCCAGGCCATTTTTTCCCACAGCCCATATTTAATTCTGCATCTTCCTGTATTAATAAATGCACGACTTATACAACTCAGGACTGTTCTAATGCTGTTGTCAATGCAAAAACATTTGTCACATATCAGATGTTTTAATGCAAATTTCTGCAAGTAATGGACAATACTATAAATAACTATATTCCCATTGCAGTTACATGGTGGACGCAGCAGACTTAGAAAAAGTAGAAGCTTCAAAGAATGAGCTACACAGTTTGATAGATAAGCCACAATTGCATGGAATTCCAGTAAGTATTTTGATTATTGTTCTTACCTGAATGTGGACAGTGTAACCTAAATCCTTATGAATCGGTTCCTCTGGATTCTTGAAAATTCTAGCTTAAATATGGCGCAGGCTTGATACATTGAGTGTTCTTACAAAAATTACTGTGACATTTTTTCAGAGGACTCAGGATCTTATCAGTGCTGCCGTGTGTTTGTACGTTTTCTCATCTAAAGGTCAGAATAGATTTGGAAAAAATTCATTTTCACATGTGGCATTATCAGACAGTAATTACATCCAGTCGGTCCCCTTGTTGGCTGGGTTTGAACCAGTGACCCAGATACGTTCTGGCAGTATCTTAAGGCGTGTGAGATTTGTCTTTCTGAAGGCTGGCAGACACTAACATCAAATAGTGTCCTCTGCTTCCAGAGATTGTGGAGGAGCTTGACTTTTTATGTGTCCTGACTTCTCTTTTTCTTGACTTAGTTTAACTGTTTCTTTTTTATATGTTAAGTACATATTGAACAAATCCCACAGAAGTCTATAGTCACGCTATTCATGGCAAGTGACGTTGTCTGTCCTTTGTACTGTCTTCACATCCTGTTTTACTTCTCACTTTTCCTTCCTGAAATGATAGGTCTCTCATATCTTCAGAAGTATTTAATTAAGTTCCTTTCCTTTTATATGTTATAATGTCACATTCCAATTGCCCAACCTGACCAGCCCAGTAATTTCCAAGGTGCAGTAATGTATTTTTTACTTACTTTTATTTCATAGGTAGGTAACTAGTATTGAACTTTCTTCAATTTATTGTGCTCAGGCTTCGGTATTATAGATTTTAAGGTAGCTTTATTAATCTGAGACTGCAAGTAATGAATTTTAATGTGTTCCAGATTCATGGGAAATAATGGTAAAGTCTTGACTCAGAATTGTAACGCATCTGGAAAAGAATAATGCAACCATAATTAGAAAAACCTCCCATTGCTTACTTTATCTTAGAATGTGCTCAGCCTATTTATCTGACCTTCATTTATACTTGAAGCCTTAAGTATTGTGTAGGAACTTGTAAGTTCCGGCATCTATTCAGTAAATTTTCTGCATTTCTCAGACTTACTTGCTAATGGCTGCCTTTCTGATTTCTACCATGGATGCTCAGATTGGAGGGAGAAGAATCAGTCATTTGGCTGGTGCTTGGGTGATACGTGTTTTGGATATATGGTTAGTACGTCAATGTTAAGAAGCAGGGAAGCAAAACTGTGAACAGAATCATGTCTGGGTCTTGAGGACCCAGCCTCTACTGCTGGGGCCCTGCTTTTGATTAACATTAGTCTGGTCCTGTGAATTGAATGTCTCTTGGTGGCTTGAGTGCACCTGGTACATGCTCACCTCCAAGTTTAGTTGCATGCAATCTAACACCATCCCATAATGCCACCCAGAATGGAGAGATTCACTTCCAGATGAGACTTCCGATACACCAAGTAATAATTGGATCCAGTCTTCAGAGGGTGTGCATCCAGCATCTGACTCTAACTAGGAGCGGGATTTCCATGATGCTCCCGCAGTCATTGGTCATTTTTAATATGTCCACTATTGCGGTCTAAATACTTAGCTGCAAGTTCCAAAATAATGCCAACAAATGGTTAAAGACAAAGATAAACTTTTATTGCTCCTGGATTTAACATGAATATGAATAATTTCTTTCAGGTGTTAGTCCTTGGAAATAAAAGAGACCTCCCAGGTGCACTGGATGAAAAGCAGTTAATTGAGAAATTGTAAGTAGCTGGCCTGTGTAAAAGCTGAGACACTGTGAAATTTGATACGTATGAGAAAATTGTTGGTAATCTATGGCAATAACCAGCTATAACAGATTCCATTTTACATTCTCAGATACTCCACTTTGAGCTCCCCTGGCAGTTGAAATAGCAATCTAGGCTGATAACTGACTGCAGTGGATTTGAAACTCTCTTGATTATTATTTTGGTTGTATAAAGGTGTTTCAGATAATCCTGTTTTCCCATCACTGAAGATACAACTGCTATAGATAGTAATAGGCTGACTTACACTTTTCAGAGTATGTTGTAGTGGCAGTTTAATGCTTGAATGGCATTAGAACAGAACTATTTCAAGCTACTGTCTGTAAATGTAAGCAATTCAAGTATTTTTGGCATGTATCCAAAGCGTATACTTACGGATTACAGAAACTAACTTAAATTGATGCATTGTAAGGGTAATTGTAAAGGAAATACACAATTTTGTAAAAACAACCAGTGTAGCACTAATTTTGCAGAACAGGATTCTATGTCTCAAATCACATAATTTTAATCAGTAGGAAGCGAAGTGGAGTGAGAAGTGAAGTTTCAGTATAGAAGGATGGTCCAAAGGCTAAGCAACTAAACTGGGACTTAAGAAGCACAGACTGGCTGAGGTTGGAAGGAACCTCTGGAGGTCATCTTGTCCACCCTCCAGCTCATGCAGAGCCACCTAGAGCTGACTGCCCAGGACCATGTCCAGATGGCTTTTGAATATCTCGAAGGATGGAGACTTTGCAGCCTCTTTGGGCAACTGTGCTAGTGCTCGGTCACCCTCAGAGGTAATAAGTGTTTCTTTATGTTCAGTGGAGGCCTCTGGTCTTTCAGTTTGTACCCATTGCCTCTTGTCCTGTCACTGGGCTCCATCTTCTTTACAGCCTCCCTTCAGGTATTTGTATACAATAATAAGATCCCCCCTGAGCCTTTTCTTCTCTCAGCTAAGCAGTCCTAGCTCTCTCAGCCTTTCCTTATATGTGAGATGCTCCAGTCCCTTAATGATTTTAGTGACCCTTGACTAGACTGTCTCCAGTAGCTTCACATCCCTCTTGTACTGGGGAGCCCGGAACTGGACACAACACTCCGGGTACGGCCTTACCGGTGCTGAGTAGAGGGGAAGGATCATCTCCCTCAACCTGCTGGCAACGCTCCTCCTAACACAGCCCAGGTTACCATTAACCTCCATTGCCACATTGCTGGCTCATGTTCAATTTAGTGTCCACCAGGATGCCCAGGTCCTTTCTGCAAAGCTGCTTTCCATCCAGTTGTCCCCCAGCATGTGCTGGTGCCTGGGGTTGTTACTCCCCAAGGGCAGGACTTTGCACTTCCCTGTGTTGAACTGCACGCGGTCCCTGCCAGCCCATTTCTCCAGCCTGGGGAGGTCCCTCTGGATGGCGGCACAACCCCCTGGTGTATCAGCCACTCCTCCCAGTTCTGCATCATCAGCAAACATGCTGAGGGTGCACTCTGCCCCATCATCCAGATCACTGATGAAAATATTGAACAGGATTGGACCTAGTATTGATCCCTGGGGTACACTGCTCATTACTGGCCTCCAGCTAGCTTTTGAGCCACTGATCGCCAAACTCTGGGCCTGACTGTTCAACAAGTTTCTAGTTCACCTCATTGTCTGCTCATCCAGCCCATACTTCCTCAGCTTGTCTATGGGAGACAGTGTCAAAAGCCTGAAGTCAAGGTACACAATATCCACTGCTCTCCCCTCATCTACCAAGCGGTAGATTTCATTGTAGAATGTTATTGAGTTGGTCAAGCATGATTTCCCCTTTGTGAATCCATGTTGACTGCTCCTGATCACCTTCTTGTCTGTCACATGCCTGGAAATGGTTTCCAGGATTGGTCGCTCCATCACATTCCCAGGGATCAAGGTGAGGCTGACTGTCATGTAGCTCCCTGGGTCCTCCTTCCTGCTCTTTCTGAAGATAAGAGCGACCTTTGCTTTCCTCCACTCTTCAGGCACCTCTCCCAGTCACTATGATCATTAAAAGGTTATCAAGAGTGGCCTCACAATGACATCAGCCAGCTACCTCATCACTCATAGGTGCATCCCACCAGGGTACATGGACTTCTCTGTGTCCAGTTTGCTTATGTATTCCCTGACCTGATCGTCTTCCATCAGGGGTACAACTTCCTTGCTCCGGACTTTTCCCCCTGGACTCTGGGGCCTGGGATCCCTGAAGGGATCTTGCTAGCAAAGGCAGCATTCAGTACCTCCTCCTTTTCCATGTCCTGTGTAACCAGGTCCTCCGCCTCATTGAGTAATGGGCCCACATTTTCCCTTGTCTTCCATTTGTCACTTACGTACTCACAGAACCCCTTCTTGTCGCCTTTGACCTCCCTCACAAGATCCAGTTTCAGGGCTTTGGCTGTCCTAACTGTGTCTCTGCATGCTTGGACAATGTTTCTGTATTCCTCCCAGGTTGCCTGTCCCTGCTTCCACCTTCTGTATGCTTCCTTTTCGTGACTGGGTTTTGCCAGGAGCTCATTGTTCATCCACTTATGCCTCCTGGCAATTTTCCAGACACATTAGGATGGGCTGCTTCTGAGCTTGGAGTCAATCCTTGAATATTAACGAGCTTTCTTGAGCCCTTCTTTGCTACAGGGCCTTATCCCAAGGGACTCTTCCAAGCAGATCCCTGAAGAGGCCAAGTCTGCTCTCCTCAAGTCCAAGGAGGTCACTGTTGAGTTCTCTTTATTAGAGGCTCTTGCGTGATCTCAAGACTCTTTCCTTCTTGGTGCCTCCACTCCCCATCTGCTCCAGGAATGTAATCTCTTTCCTCCATGTCTGTGTCACTTGTGTGAGGATAAATGAAAAAATAACAAAGTGCTCAGAAACTCTGAGGAGGATAGGGAAATTCCCAGAAAGAAACAGAAGTTAATTGAGAATCTGTTTCTCCCTAAATGTAGAGGCATCCTTTCAGTAGGAATCAGATCTGATATATTTAAGTATGATATCATAAACAACCTGAAGATTAATGGTGTGATCATTTGAGTACTGTTATTTGATTATAAGAGTTATTAGAGATAAAAACTCTGAATTCTAAGTGAAAAGAGTAAAAGATGAATGCTAAGGCATGGTAATGTTACTTGATTGCCACTACAAAATGTTATTTTCAGCTCATGGCTTTCTGTATTTTTATTGTTCACTATTACACTGACTTAATGAGAAATTTGAATTTTTGTGAAATGACTTTATAACCTTTTAATCTTTATAGTTTAAGAGATGTGAGGTTTTTGTCTGCAATAGCATATTTTAAAAATTTAATATCTGAGGATAGAATTGAACCCACTGAGTAAAAAGCAGAAAACATGTAATTTAGTGGAAATTTCTCTTGTCAGTTTTTTGTGGAGCTATAACACTACTTATTTTGTTATTTTTTGTTTCTGTAGAAACCTTTCAGCTATTCAAGACAGAGAAATCTGTTGCTATTCTATTTCCTGTAAAGAGAAGGATAACATCGGTAAGCTGCTGCATCTTACAGCATCCTCAGTGTATACTTTGTACTTTGGATCAGATGTTAAAAATGTTAATGAGATTTGAATATCTACCTCCAATATATAACTGAAAATCTCAATTTACTTTGAAAGATTTTGTTGCAAATACTGCATGCAATTGTATTTGTTTTAACATAGAATTATGTGTAATTTAAAAGTCACTTGTAGAATTACTTGGTTCCAGGAGAGGTTAAGTAACTAGTTTGACAGGAGCCTTGGAAGAGCATATTTAAAACCCGAAGTAATGAATCCCTCACAAAAACTGTATTACTTTTGAAAAAATAGTAACTGCATATGAAGGCCTTCCAATTGTTAGGTAATACTTAAAAAATTTTGCTAAGCGTTTTGCTCCATACAGGATTTTATTTGGTAAGCAGGCCCTATGTGCCTGTGGCTGTGTGGCGGTGTTCCTCCAACTGAGGGACTAGTGCGTTTGTCCACGCAAAGAACAGATCCTGAAGTCAGCGAGGAGCTATAAAAGCCCCATCAAGTTGTCTTCCATCTGCCTTTGCTTTTTGCCCTTTCCTCGCTCTCCTGTCTTTCTTCCGCTTTCCTGTCCCTTTCCTCTGTCATGCCCTCCTCTTCCCTTTCCTCCCCAGGGCAGGAGAGAGGGGTGAAGCACAGGCTGAGCCAGCAGCGGTGGTTGCCCGGGGGCATGCTGCCTATGTGCCACCCTGCTTCCCTGCAGGCTGCTAAGGCAAGTGGTGCTGGATGGGAGGGATACAGCCTGGGCAGGTATTTATAGCTGCTTGTTGAGGAAGCCAGACTTGTTAGAAGAGCTGGGCAGCTCTGCAGGGCTCAGCTGAATGAGAGATGGTGCAAGTGGGAATGGGAGGAAAACCGTTTTCTCCCAGCAACAGGGGAAATTTCCATCCTAGGCAGAGAGGACCAGGTAGTGGAGGTGGTGAGGAGACTATGCCATGACACCTGGGCTTGAGAGCGCTGGGGGAGATTTCAGCTGTGTGCAGGGACGTGTTAGGCAGTGGGGGCTTCTCTTGGAAATGGTGTACGTGGTTTGGGTGCGTCGGTTTGAAGGAGACCAGACCCAGGTTTGCTGCAGCTTGGGGTGCAACGGTTATCTCTGAGTGAGGGAAATACGCAGAATGTACTGTTACACTGGGGAAGATGAGAGTTTGGGATGTAAGGACTGAGGAAGACAACATAGTCAGGATTATCTGCTTAGGTGAAGGGCATTGGAGGTGATTGAGGTTTTAGAAACACGGTGCTGCAGTGGAGGATCTCAAAAGTGGTATTGTGACTAGAAACTGGTAAAACCAGCTTAGTTTCTGAAAGGATCCTGGAGAAAATAGGTTTTGATCCTGGTTCATTTATGTGGATGGCCTGGAGGAGAACATTTATATAGATGGCCTGGAGGAGAAAAGCAGGCCAAAAAAGCACACTAAAATTTGCAAATGGGAAAATAATGAAAAGAATGATCACTAGTGCAGAACCGTGTAGATCACTTACTTGTGGAAGTCCTGGGAGTAGTGATGAAAAAGACTCAAATTCTAACTGAGAATCGGTCAAGTACCTTCCAGTGTAACGTTATGCCTAGAAAGGCTAACCTGGTCCTGAATATTTGCCCAAAGAAACAACAAATGGGAGCAGACTGCGTATATCACGTGTGTTTGGAACTGTGCGGGCATTACTGGACCATTGTGTGCTATATCTTGAGGAAGACCTTGAGAAACTGAAAAGAGGTTGGGCAAGAACCTAAGGAGATCAAAGGACTGGAAAATACCATTTATCATGAAAAACTATAATGAAAATATATTTAGCTTATGAAAGTGATGAAACTACTAGGCTGTTAAGGAGAAGACTGGGAGCTGTCTTCTTCCTCTGCATTTTTGATTGATATCAATGCAGTTGAATGAGAAGGCAGTCATTTTTCAGTGCAAACTGCAGCCTAGCTAACTGGTCTCATCAGGAGGTGTAGGTGTAAGGCTGCCAATTTCTGTGCCCTGACAGACTGTGGAAGATTAGTATTTAGTAACTAGCTTTGGTTTAGATGCCGTGGAATGCTCTTGTCTGCAGTCTCAGTGCCTAAGCCGGTCTGCGAGGATATTCATGGAGTGCTGTCTTGAACTTAGGACAGATGTGGCACAAATTTAAATTTGAGGGCTAGAGCTGTTCCTGCCCCCTGACATCCTTCCTACCTCCCTGACAGATGTTACTGCCTTGAGGCAAAAACATCTAATCTGCTCATGAGTCAGTTTGTGAACTGCTGGAGTTTTCAGCCCAATGCATTAGATTGTATCAGGAGGGGTACCAATTTCAACTATCAAATTTTAGTCCAGTGTTGCATTCCTTTCAGAGACCTTGGACTCCTACAGTCTACCTAAATGGCTCCTTAATGCTTTGTCAGATGTTTGCCCTTCTCTTTCCTTCTGGTTGTGTATTTCTGCCTTTGTTCTCACACTGCATTTCATTCTAGTCTGGATTTTACAGTTCATTTTATGGTGATCTTAAATCTTCGCTTTTCCAACAGTTCTTCATCTGTGGTTTAGAGAACTTGATGTCAGTCATCATATTTCAAGATTACAAAATGCACATAGTTTAAAAACAAACAAAAAACAACAGAAAAAAAGGCTACCTGGAGTTTTAAGTACTGAATTGTTAACTGGGTGTAAATGAAAGCCTGTGGTTTCTGGGTTTTGTTTGTTTGGGGGTTTTTAATTTGTATTAACCTTCTGGTGTTCTGTTGTCCTTTTACACTCTGCAAACAGGCTGTTGAGTTTTTCATTTTGTTTTATCTGTCCTGGCAGACATAACATTACAATGGCTTATTCAGCACTCCAAATCAAGACACTGTTGAAGAAAACTTTTGCTGAAGA